GGTGTTTTATTGGATCCGGCCTCTTCCTTTCAAGAGAGTTGGGTTTCTCTATTAATTTGTGAGTGTAGTTACGAAGACCTCGCGGTTAGTCCCGGAACGGTTTCAATGCTCCGCTAGGGCGGTGTCAGTGCCTTGTGGTGGTGGCGGACTCCACCCGGTACCTCGCCCGACCTCCGTCGTGGACAGTGCCGCTTGACTTAGTGCAAGCAGCCTTGGTCCATCCCAAACGGTCGGGCCACCCCTCTATGGCGCGGTGTGTGGTTGGAGAGGGTCAAAGATACTTAGCGGAGCAACTCTCGGTCCCTTCCGACTAAAGCTCATGTTGGAGTTGGTTCTGCATGTCGGTCACCGCTAACGATACATTGATCCTTTAACCTTTGTCCCTTCTTATGAGGAATAGGTCGGGCAGAGGTCCTCGGGTCACAGTGTTGGCGCCGATATTCCCCCTCTCGTTAAGGTCTAAGACTCAGAGAAGGGAGGATGATACTGAGCAACTCAATACGTGGTCGTCATGACTCACGGGTGCCTAGGGTCCCCTTATATGCAATGCATTTTCCATTTTTCAAGCAAACGCTCAATCCAAATGTCCTTTCCAAGTTTTTCTCAAGGTTGAATCTCATGACCGATCAGACGACCTCTTTTCAGTTAGGACCATTTTTCATGGCCGACTCGTCGACTCCTTTTCAATCATCAATTTTATCTTTCTAATTTCTTTCCAAGGCTGCTTTTCATGACCGACCCGACGACCTTTGCAAACCCCTATTCCATTTATTCCCGTCTCCTCCTCAAGGTTGATTCTTATTACCGTCCCGACGGCCTTTTCAATCCACATCTCTTGCACTCTCTTTCCGCAGCTGTTTCTTAAGATTCTCCGAACGTCTCTTTTCAATTCATGGTCCGCCTTCTCCCAATTTTTTTCCAAGGTTGATTCTCACGGCCGACCCGACAACCTTTCCAATCCATTTTTTTTTTTTTTTTCACTTCCTCAGTTAGGCTATTTCTTTTAACCGACCCGACAGGCATTCCTATTCTCAATCCATCTCTTTCAGTTTTTTTTGCAAGTGTGATTCTCGTGACCAGTCCGACGGTCATTTCCTTTCTCTTGGCTCAATCCGTCTCAGTCTCATTTAGTCTTTCTCAGACAACCATGCAAGCGGACCCCAGCGCCAATTTTTTGTTCCTCTTAAGGTTTTTCACCCTTGTCGTAGGAGACCCTAAGGCCAATTCTCTATTCCTCTTAAGGTTCTTCACCCATGTGGTAGGAGACTGTAAGGCCAATCTTTGTTCCTCTTAAGGCTCCTCACCCATGTGGTAGGAGACCCTAAGGCCAATCTTTCGACGACCCTTGTCAGGGGCCACCTTTTTCCATTTGAAGTTGAACAATCTTTTCAGGGGTCATTCTTTGCTATTTCATTGTTAGCACTGGAGGGGGTGGGCTTTGAGGACACGGATCCCATCCTTTGCTAGGGGGGTTAGAAGCGGCCATCTTATGCAATTTCCTTCATCGTTTCCCATACAGCCAGCTGCCACAATCAACTCATGAATACAGCCGGCTTAGCCTTCAGCGCTCAGGCAGAGGCTTTCGTCCTCAGGCAGCGCTGGCCCACGCGAACGTGGGGCCTTTTTTCTGTTTTCACTCTTCCTTACTCTCAAACCTTTTTCTCTCAAGACTTGACTTTCAATTTTTGGTGAGGAGCCTTTCAATTTTTGGTGCATCTAGCCTGCGTTTTTGGCCAAATGCACTATTTCGTGTTTTTTTTTTTTTTTTTTTTTTTTTTATTTTGGGCTGACAACTCATTCCGGAGTTGACCGTTTGAGTTGACCCCACAAAAAACGGCCATATTGCCTCTCCCATGAGATCTGATCTCAGATCTATGGTCCAAAAGAAAACTGGTAAACTCCTTTTTGTTTTTTCTCTTCTTTTCACCTTTTTCAATTCAGATATTGTTAAGCTAATTCCCCAAGGGTCTTATCTCTTCACTCCAGATTCGCTCCCACTAAATCCGGAGTGATGAGGTCATAGTAGCGACCTGCCTGTCCATTTCCCAACTGGCTGACTCATTTCCCTCCACCTTTTTCTCCACCTTTGTCACATTCTTCCTCCTTTTTCGCTCCTTTTTTTTTTCTTTTCCTTTATTTCTAATGTGCCAAGTGTCAAGTAGCTATTGAGGCTTTTTACAGGTCATGGATCTTGATCTAGATCAAGTTGTTGCTCATTATTTCTTGGACCACAATAATGAGGCCCCTATACTCATAGGGGCTTCATTTTGCCTCCGTTAGTCTCAATTTTTTACCCCCATTATTCTGATTATTCCTTGGCAACTTTTTTTCAGCATAAAGCCCCTTAAGGCTCTATTTTCTCTTGCTAGGCTAGTCCGAGATATCTCGGACTACAAGGTAGGCCTTCTCCATTTGTTTCTTCTTTTCTTTCTCCCCAAATTCCTCCCACCTTGGCCCTACTAGTGCTTACACTAATAGTTGTTAATAATTTCCACTGCTAGATTTTAATCTTGACGGTGTGACTTGCTTTGTTTGCCCATCCCTCATGTCGGTTAATGGTTCCCTTGGGACAACTCAAGTTCCCGTCATTCATCTCAAACGAGTCTCATTTTTTTAGTTTCGTCGGTAGTCACGCGGGCACATGCCCCAATTTTTGACTATTTTTATTTGGGCCCATCTAGTCCCCGACACCGCTTCTCATGACGTCTCATTTTTATTTGGGACTTCCTAATCCCCGACAGTCCCAATTTCCCGTTCCAATGTGCCTCAAGTGTGCCTAATATTCACGGTCGCTAGATCTTCATTTCGTTGCCATTTACCGCCTCCACTCGCTTCATGCTTGAGACATTCGTTTCTAGTGTCTTGAGCATGCCAAGGCCCGTTTTCTTTTGGCCTTGGCATCCCCATGCAGTCCGTTAATTTCTGGAATGCAATGCTGGTCATTTTCCTAGTTTCATTGCCCCCATACTTGCCCAAAACTGAAACAAAATGGAGTGGCACATTTCCAAGTGCATCCGGACTCCATATTAACTTCGGATGTACTTGAAACATGTGTTTTCTTCCCCTCTTGCCATTTGTTGTATCTCGATTGCAAGAGGTCTTGATTTTCTTTGATTTTCTCACGAAAATCTAAACAAAATCAAGCTACTCTGTGACCGATTCACCCTATAATGAATCCGGACACAAATGCATTTCTCAAGTGGTCGTTTTTTACCGTTAGTGGTCATTTTTCCTTTTCTTTTATTTTTCTCTTCTTTTTCCCCACAAAATTCGGACAGTAGGGACTTGTCAGCCCCTACGATGCCAGTCCCCACTGACGACCAACTCACTCTTTCCTTCTCCTTTTTTTTGTCTCATTCTTTCTCTTTTTTCTCCCCTCTTTCTTTTCCTTTTTTTTTATTTTCAGATATGATAAGTGTTAAGTAGTTGTTGAGGCTTTTTCTAGGCCATGGATCTCGATCTAGGCCTAGATCATGCTCAAAGGTCAGTCCGTTACTTCTCGGACTGCAATTATGGCACCCCCATACTCGTGGGAGCCCCATTTTGCCACCGTTAACTCCAAAGTGTGACCCTGTGACCCCCTTTGTTCCGACTTTCCCTTGGTAGCCTATTTCTCTCATAGAGTCTCAAGGCTCTAATTTTTATAGTCTGGCTGGTCCGAGATATCTCAGACTGCAATCTACACCCCCCTTCCTCATTTTTTTCCCTTTTTTGTCTCCTACGACTCTTCCGCTTGATCCCAGTAGTGTTTGCACTAGTGCTGCTAATTTATCTTCACAATACATCTCTCCATGATTGTTCATTCCTCATGATGCCCCCATAGTTTTCTTGGGACATCTCAAGTCCTCGACACTTGTCCCGTACTAGTCCCTGATACTAGTCCCACTGGTGGTCCCGCCGGTTCTGATACCAATTTGTGATTATTTTTATTTGACCCGACGTGGTTTCCGACACTACTCCCCATGTCTTCCCAATTTTATTTGGGACTCCCTTGTCCCCAACATTCCCAATTTCCTCCTCTCCATGCGTCTCAAGTGTGCCAAATATTCTTCGTCGCGTGATCTTGATCTTGCGGTCGCTGTTCATTGTCGTAATTTGGTCCTCATGCTTGAGGCTTTATTTTCTAGTGCTTTGCGACCCTCAAGGTTCATCTTCTCATGGCCTTGACACTCCCTTGCAGCCCGTTGCATCTCGGAGTGCAATTGTGACCCTTTTCCTAGTCCCATTACCCCCACACTTGCCTCAAACTGAAAAAAATGAAGTGGAACATCCCCAAGTGCATCCGGACTCAATATTGGCTCCAGATGTACTTGAAACATGTGTTTGCTTTACTTTCTGTGATCCGTTGCATCTCGACCAACTTCCTTCTTGATTTATCTTGATTTTCTCTTCGAAAATCCAGAAAATCACTGCATTTTGCAACCGTTTTCATCCTAGGATGAATTTGGTCACGAAATGCATCTAAAACATGTATTTTCTTTTGCTCTAGGTGTCGGTTTTTGTCATTTTTGTGCCAACTGCATCTAGTTCTGGTGCAATCCTGTTCAAGGCACCTAGACCTTTTTTGTGGAGGGGCAAGTTGGCCATGATGTGGCAGCTTGCCCTTTTTTCACTCCCACACTCTCCTACCTCTCCCATTCTCCCTCTAGGCCCTCTTCTCTTCACCTTTGTTGTTCGTTTTGTTCCGGATCACATTTGAACTTCATTTCTCAGGTTCAACATACCTGGGCACTCCATAGTTAAGGCCCTTGTGATCCGTTGCATCTCTCTCGAGTCCCTTCTCAATTTCAAGGCCTCGAAGCCTTAAAATTGAGACTCTCTTTTTCGTTTTTTAGCCTTTTTCATTTTGGCTCCCAAGGACAACTTATTTTTCAGATTGCCCGTGCTTGGGCACTTATTTAAATGGCACCCGCTAGTCCTTTTGTACCCTTCCTACGTGTTCCATAGCCCTTAGGCTTTTCTCGTGCCGCTGCCGGCGTCAACAGTTGCATTGTCAATTCGCAGGCTGGTAGTAGCTGTGTGATAGTAGTCTGGGTGCCGAGCGCCAAGTAGGAGAGGGGCTCTGGATACTCATCTTGGTGATGGCGAGAGTATGCTCTCATTGACGCTTGGATTCAGTGTTTTGGTTCTCCATTGGTGTCATATCGGTGCAATTCTGCTTTCTGGACAGTGTCGGACTTCCTTGCTTTTAATGTGATTTTGCAATCTGGAATCTGTCATTTTGCTATTGCTCTTTTTCCTCGCACAGGTCATGTTGATTGGTGTTGTATACATGAACCTACTGTTTACGGTTGATTGTTATCCCTTGCTGGTGCTTTGGCTTTTTATTATCTTCTTTCCCTCTGCCGGTCATTTTTTCACCCCTACTTGGCCTTTTCGTCGGTTTGCTTCTCTGTTTTCATCCTTTTTGTGAAATGTTGGCAGAGCAGAACCCCATACGACCTATGGAGTAGTCAACCAGACCATAATTTGGAGAGATGGTTTGAAGGCTGTTCCGATCCTGTGGAAAATCCTCCAGGTAAATGAATTGCGCCATACAGTCATAAGGTCACCTTTTTTTTTTTCCTTTTTTTTTTTTAAGCCTTCAGGTGAGTGGATTTATGCTGAGATCAACACCTTCAGAAACACCTCTTAAAAAATGCCATAAACTTGTGCTCAAAGGTATTTGCAGTGCTAGTGCGATTGGAAGGTTGTTTACTGAGAAAAGAGAAAAAAACGACTTGGAGGACGGTTCTTACTGTTGTTGTTCTGATGAGTTAAAGACAGTGGCCACCAAATTCCCAATCCTAAACTGTAGAAAGATAGAGACTTTTTTATAAGCGCCATGACCCATATGATATGTTTGCTATGCTAGGATGACTAGAAGTCTGGAAGGTTGTTTACACAGAAAAAAAAAGAAAAGAGGTCGGAAGTTTGGTTCTCGGCGTTGTTGTTCTGGCAAAAAGAAAGCGGTTGCACACAAATCTTGTTTTCTTTTCCCTTTCAACAGGTCCTTGTGGTCCTGGCTCCTTGTCCATTCTGGGGAGCGCCAGTCAGCGCCTTTCATTCACCAAGTTGGATAAGAAGTACTTCGTATGGTGATCCAGGGCGGAGAACACAGTGCTGCTCTTTTTTTTTATTTTTATTTTTTTATTTTTTTAAACAGAACCTCACGGTTCTGGCTCCTACCATTCTGGGGAGCGACAGTGCTGCTCTATTAGCCCTCTGACCCTGTAGTGCGTTAGCGCTACACAACGCTTTGTGTTCCATCTTTCTCATAGGTGCCCATGCCATCGCTAATGATGGTGAATGCGGCTGTTGGTAGCTGCTGTTTGGTGGAAGATTATTATCTTCTTATGAGCTCGTTACTGGCATATTGGTGAAAAACACATTTAAGGGTGAATCAGATGCGACACATCCATAGCTATACATCTTCCTATGATCTTCCTCCACACACACAAGGAGGTAGCAGCCATTAATGGAGCTTAACGTCATCCTATTGTCTCGATCTTTGGATGCATTATGAACCGTTGGATACTCAGCTCCATATATGCACTCGTTATTGTGCCTGCTGTGCGATATGATTGCAAGTCTTTGTTGCAAGAATGAGGATGAGGTGGAATTGTATTTGTTGTTCAGTTTAGTGGAGCTTGGCATCATCGGCATGAGTTTGCAGCTGTGAGGGCATGGAATTAGCGTTGTTTGGGAGCTAATCCAGCACGTGGACTTCACAATGGGTGATTAAACTGCAAAGAGTAAATATCGTTCATGGCCATCCCGAGAAAGAAATAAAGAGTTCATCGAGGCTGTGCCAATATCATCTCTGTGCTGTACTGTCAAACCCCTAGTGGAGAAGGTGAGGAGTCGCCTGTGCAAGGGAGGGTGGGAGGGTGAAATGAGTGAGGAAAGGAGGGAAGGAGGGGGGAAGGGGAGGAAAGGAGGGATTGAGAAATAGAGCGGGAGTGTATGCAATGGAAGAATGAAAGGTAGGTAGGTAGAGTGGGCAGGTGGAGAGGGAACCGTGGGGAAGGGTATTAAGGGAAGAAGGCCCTGCTACAGA